TTGCAGCTGGAATGCTAAAGTCTGGAAAGAGGCTTGCCAAAGTTGTCCCAATAAGACTTTAGCAGGACCAAGGTCTTTGTCCTTTCAGGCCTGCATGGGTGGACCCAGGTCCTGACCTGCCTGCCCACAAGTGCTTCCTGACGACGTAGGATGTGCCCAGGGGCCACTGACCTACATTGTCAGGAACTGCATCCTGCAGAGGGACTCTGGCCAGCTGCTCTCCTTCCCATGCACAGATGAGTTAGGCTTTCCCAGGCAGAGTGAGCATACCTCCCACTGAGCAGCGCTGGACCAGGAGCCAACATATCTACCCTCGGGACATCCTAAGCAGGTGTCCATAGAACCCTGCCAGTTAGGCAAGCATATCCTTAGCTTGGGTTCAGCCTGCAGCACCACAAACCCAGCCTTCTCAGAGTGCCAGGGGTCCTAAAAGCCTCTATGGATGCTCAACAGTGAAGTCATTCCCCACCGGAGCACAAAACAGGTTCATACCTACTGTCCCTTAGAGCTTAGCTTGATGCTTACAAGAAGCAGGGCAGTGTGGGTTAGGTTAGAAAGGCAAGTGGTGAGGTTGAGAGAAGTACCAGACAACCCTGTGACTTAGCAGCTGGAGAGCCTGGACTAGTGACTTAGTCATTCTGTGCCTTTGCATCCTGTAAAGTGAGCATACCATCTCGATGCATTCTGATGGTAGTGTTCTTACCCTAGCAACCAGCAGAAGGTGGGTCTTAGCCTTACCATCACTTATCCATTCTGTATCCATTACCATTGCATAGGGGGAGGCCAGTTCATAGCCCTGTGAGGCCACCTCTCATGGAAGCCTGGATGGAAGACTTGGGAGAGAAAGACCCTCTTCTGTTCTGCTTGCCGTGACATCATTCCTATGCCCATAGCAGTACCTAGAAAATGAGGATGCTTTAGTAGTTATGGGATGGATGGATGGATGGATGGATGGATGGATGGATGGATGGATAAATACCTGACTAATTGCCAGGTGAGAAACGGAAGGAAGAAAACTAAAGAGAATTGAGAAGACTGCAAATCTTCACAGCCCATCATCCCAAGCAAGAGCAACACTGTTAAGCCAGAGGAAATGTAATCCGTTGAAGAGAGGCAGGCCTGAAGCCCAGGCACAGGCCCTGGGCTATGTGGACAGCCCACAGTGAGATGAGCCCAGGGCGGTGCCCCATCCCCCATCAGCCCTTCATAGCTGCCCTGGAAGCTGAGCGGTGTCTCTACCACAATGCTTGGACATCTGGCCTCAGTGGCCTGTTAGGGACAGTGGGCACTCCCTTAGTCCCAGGGGATACCTCTGACAGCTTCCCCATTTGCAGCCTCACTGAACTGGTGATTCTGTGTTCCCAGAAGCTGGTTGGTTAATCCACAGCATGCCACATGGTTCTTTGGTGACCTCTAGTGGCAGTTTGGTGCACAACACTGATACCTCAAAAGCGCTCAGGGGGCGACTCTTCCTCCCCACAGGTGTGACTTCACAGTCTACTGTGGGCCCAAGTCTGACTTGGGATCCGGGATTACCCAACAATGGCTTGCTTAACTTGCTTTGAGATTCAGGCCCAGGGTCTCTTGGCTGTATTCAAAGACTCCCATCATCTCCTAGCCTCACAAGAACAGGAACCTCATTGCTCCTGAAGTCATCTCCATCCCTGCCACTGTGACTGATGGAGATGGGGCTGCAAGAGGGTGATGTGAAAAGTCAAGTTTGAAGGGCTGTTTCCAAGTCAGCACCTGTAACATGGGGAGGTAAAGGAAGAATCAGGCCCTTGGGCCCCAGGACCACTGCTTGTCTGAACTCTGAATGGGTTCTGTTATGTCTCTGTGGCCCTGCCCTTCTGCAGGCCAGGAGATGGCCAGGTTGCTGAGGGAGCTGTGCAGGGGACAGAATGGTAGATGTGGGATTTAAAGACGTCAGATGGGCGGATATGGAATTGGGTGGGGGTAGAATGAAAGATGCCGCGCTGGAATGAAGGCAGTAGAGTCAGGTCGTGGCAGTTCCATGGCCATTTTCTGATGGGACAAGGACCAACGGGCTTACTAGAGGAAGACAGATATTTGGGGAATCCAAGGCATGTAGAGCAGGGAGCAGCAGTCCACTCCACAAACCTGGAGCATCAAGCTCAACCCTAGATCAGTGAAAACTCAATCTGCTATAGAGTCAGGTTGAAGAAAGTGTCCTTCATGGATTGCCTGTCAAGACTCAAGAGGAAATCATTGCCCAAGACGAAGGTATCCCAGCCACAGCAGGTGTCGTGAAGGGTCATCTCCAGCCCAGGCCACTCTGACTTTGCATTCTAGAGGTCACCTCAAGAACATAGCATTCCTGCCCACATATGGACCTCAACCCCATGGACTCAAAGAAGCTAGGCTAATGTCTTTCTGTGGTTTGGCACAGCTAAATGCATAGAGCTCAAGTGTGTGAGCAGCCGAACAATCTGAAGAAAAGATGGCTAAGCCCACAGACCCCAAGGAGCCCAGGTTTTCCTGCTTCCATATGGGGATGCCGTCTTTTCTCACCCACAGTAACCCAGGCAGTGCCTCCCTCAAAGCCAGGCCTAGAAAGCAGCAAGGTGAGGGATGGCTTCTAGTCTTGCTTTCCTTCCATACCCATGGGCCCCATCAAAGTGCCCTCTCTTCTGATAATTGACCCTGCATGCCCACCCCTTACTGCCAGGCACAAACTTCAGCCTGAACACCTTTTTTTGACAATGTGCTCTTGGGGGGGGGCGCACTGGACTAGCAAACAGATTTGCTAAGAGAGGTCAACTTTACTTAGGAAGCTTCTTGCTGGTGGATTCCAAAGATGTATTGTGGGACCAAGCAAGTAAGTAAATATGGTGACTTGGTTGGAAATCAGAGATCTCACTGTGAGAAGAGGGATGAAATTAGAGAAGGGGAGAGCCACTCTGAGGTGTGGCTTTATCTGTAAACTACATGAGCAGATATGGAATAGATGATAGGAAGGAAGGAAGGAAGGAAGGAAGGAAGGAAGAAAGAAAGAAAGATGACCAGTGGTAGATAACATGGATGATAGATAGATGACTGACTGGTAGATGGTAGATAAAGGATACATAGATGATAAATGAATGATACATAATGATAGATGATTGAAGGTAAATAGACAAATAATTGATAATTGCTTAAATAATAGAGAAAGAAATATAAATAAATGCTAGAAAAGTGACAGATAACAATTGATACTTAATAGATAAGACTGATAGATGATAGATATATGCATGCATGTACACATATATACGTACATACACACATGCATACATACATACATACATAGGACTAAAAGTAATGATAACCTAAGACAGTGAGCCCACAAACTTCTCAGATGTTGGTTTCTAAACACCATTGCACTGAAAAGAAAAATAACCAGTTCCAACGCTGAAGCAAGGGAAATGCCAGGGGAGCTGAGAACATTCTGTACCAAGAAATAAGAAAGTGTTCAAAAAATAAGATGACAGGAACATGTGGGAAAAACATCAGAGGCAACAGGAAGGCGTTTTCCACTGGCCAAATCTGCATAAACTTGAGTCAAAATGCACGACGATAGCAATGGGTTGTAGTGAAGCCACAAGTAACAGGAAGGAAGAAAGTGCTGTCCTGCTGGCATGTCCAGATGGGGTGACAGTTAGCAAATCCCTGGTTCATAGTTCCCAAAGTCACTAGCCCCAAACTGATGTTTGTGGGAAACAGGATCTTCGAACAGGTGACTCACGAAGGGGAAATAGTACCTTTCAAGTGGTGAGCCAGTGAGCAGTTAAAATCACCAGTCACTGGACAAAGTGCCATCTTATGCCCTGAGGTGACATGCGGAGGGGACCTCTCTTATGCAGGATTTCTGCCCAGCATGCATAACCTGAGGCCAGTCATGACAACAGCCAGCAAATCCACATCAAGGGATACTTAGCAACAGTTAACTGACCTGAGTTCCTCAGGAATACAGATAAAATGAAAGACCAAAGTGGACTAGAGCATTGTTTGAGACTAAAGCAAGCCAGGGAGATATAAGAAAATGCAGTGCACTAATCCCAGGGAGAATCCTGTTTGGGAAAAAACAAAAAACAAAAACAAAAACCACAAGATGCCGTAAAGGAACCATTGGGCCCACTGGTGAACTGTAAAGGGGGCTAACAGAGAATAGACCATGTCACTGCTCCAGTTCAAAAGTGTGAGCATGTGGCTGCTGGAGAGTGTCCTCACCATTAGCAAACACACGCTGAGATATTTAAGAATGGAGTTAGAATGTCTGAAGATGACATTGTTCTAGCTTGTTCTAGCTCCTAGATTCTCTTTGGAAAGAGCACTGTCAACGAGCATTAGCAAACGCCACAGATCTCTGAAATGCCTCAGGAATGGCTGCCTGGAGTTAGGCACCCACTTCTTTCTTGTCCAATCAGCTTTGGCCCAGACGGCATCATGTGATATAGAACATGGCTGCCATCATGGCTTCGTCAATGTATGCTTTCTAGAAGGGCTTGTAGTGGACCCTCTGCATTGCTGGGCCAAGATATTCTGTAACTCCAGCTGCCCAAGCTCACTCCAGAGACTCCTCCAATCTCCCTCAACTTACAGCCAGTTTTCTCACTTGCTCTTTCAACAAGCCTTGCACCATCCCTTCTCTGGACTGAGTAGTTACTGGAATTTTCTTACTATAATATTTGTATTAGTTCTTTGAGAATTCCACACAATGTATTTTGATCATATTCCATGCACATACACTCTTCCCCAAACACCTCCCACATCCACACGTCTTCCTCCTCCTCCTAGTTTTGTGCCCCTCCCCCTAGTTTTGTGCCCCTCCCCCTAGTTTTGTGCCCCTCCCCCTCTTATATAACACAGAATCCAATTTGTGATGTTCATACATTCCTGGGTGTGGAGCCAACCACTGGAACATAGCCTACCTACTAGGGACCGCACCCTTAAAGAAAACTCTCTGTCTCCTGGAAGCCATCAGTAATCCATAGCTCCCCAGTACAAATATGGAACACTTCAGGAATTTGATTGTCATTGCCCAGGGGCCATGCTAATCCCATCTGTACTGTTCCAGTTTTAATACCTGTGCTGCCAAAGAGGAAACTGTCCCCCATAAGTCAGGTTTGATCATTTATTTTAATAAGGCAATTAAACAAGCTCTAGTTTTGTTTTGTTTTTGTTTTTTGTTTTTTTGGGTTTTTTTGTTTTTGTTTTTGTTTTGTTTTTTTGGTTTTTTGAGACAGGGTTTCTCTGTGTAGCTTTGGAGCCTATCCTCCAAGCACTCACTCTGGAGACCAGGCTGGCCTCGAACTCACAGAGATCCTCCTGCCTCTGCCTCCTGAGTGCTGGGATTAAATGTGTGCACCACCAACGCCTGGCTCAAGCTCTAGTTTTTTAAAAAGTAGAAAAGGGAGATTATTCAACACAGGCACACTAGAAGAAGGACAAAGAGATCCCATGAACTCCTCCCAAGCCATCCTTGGGTCCTCACATGAAGGCACAGCAAAGCGGTTCTAGTCAAGGTGTAGTGCAGGCCATCCTCACACCATCATGGTTTGGGCTCCAGTCTGTCCTGCAAGGTGATAAGCTGCAGGTAATCTCTTTCTGGAGACAAGCTCTCCAGCTGGCTGGCAGCAGACTTCAGTGAGGTTCCTCAGGGACGTTCCAATTCCTTAGGGTTCCTTGTTACTGAGAGGCAAGAGGGGCACAAGGATCTTCAGGATAGTCTTCATTTCATCGGGAGGGTTCAAGGTCTTATTAAAGCCTCAAGACACAGTACTGCCTCAGCCCTTTCCCTTAGAACTTCTGTCTAAAGTTGGACAGGTATGAAGAAGCCATGGGACCAGGGTTCTGGCTTAAGTTACAACCATAGAGCAGAACACAGTTGGTGCTAGCTGGTACCTTTGTCCCACCATGGGAATGCAATGGTCTCCTGATACACCACGGGTTATGGAGTATGGGAGGAAAGGGGGCCTTTGGCAAGGGACTGTGCTGCTGGAAGATGGCCAGTCCATCCCTGGGGTTTTTGTTTTCTCTTTATGCAGCCGGACCCAGCAGGCCGGGACATCTCCATCCGCCCACTGCTGGAACACTGCGAAAACACCCACATGACCATCTGGCTCGGCATCGTCTACGCCTACAAGGGGCTCCTCATGGTAGGTGCCAAGCAGGAGGAAGAGTTCGGGGACACTTCTTTGCCAGGCCTGTTTCTCCTAGGGGCCTTCACAACATGAAAATAAACAGAGCATCCCCCATATGACTAAGCACTTTG